CTGGTGGTGATCATGAGTAGGTCAGAGTACCCAAGGGGCCTCTCTGACTCACTGAGTAGGGCCACCTGAGGGCATGGGGATGATAAGGAGGAGAGAGAGCTAGAATACATTGCTTAATGTGGAACCAGCCCCAAACACTGGCTTCTTCTTAAAAAGCGTATAAGCAAAACTGGGTAGTTTTCTGAAATAGATTTGTTGGCTTTTACTTCTTTGCAGTTGTGGTAATTAAGGTTATATGTCAACTTGGCTGGGCCTGGTTTTGAGTGGCTGGGCAGTTGGATTTAGTTATTTCCTATGATGAGACTGGTAATCAAATCCATAGTGGAATCTACTATGAGTAGCTGCCCTAGGGATGTGGTCTGCTTCCAGTATTTATGAAGCCTTGAGAAAGGTCTCTGAGCTTTTTGGAAGATTTGGATCCTGCATTTGGCCAAGTCTTCTTCTCAGTGGCCTGGCATGTTTTCTGCCTATCTTGAGACTATTTTTGGACTTGACCTAGTGGCCTGCTGTGTTGCTTAACAATCTTGGGAATGTCCCATTCTACTTGTCAGCTTTGGGTTTGTCAGTCTCAGCAGCCAGCAGTTGCCTGAGTTAAGAGATGTCTCCAGCTTCAGCGGGGTAGACAGAGGCAGAGTTGAAGCACAAGGTTGAGGAGCCTTCACCCGGCCACTAAAGTTGGCACTTTGAACTCAGAATAAATCCCTGTTTGTTAAAGTCATCCAGTGGTAGTATGTCTATTATAGCAGCACTAGAGTACCAAAACAGCAATATTAAAATACAATTTGAAATTTATATTTAAATAGTTATGATTAAATAAAAAACCAAACCAGTTGCTGTCAAGTCAATTCTGATTCATCATAGCGAAGCCATTTTTGTCAGAGTAGAATTGTGTTCTATAGGGTTTTCAATGGCTGATTTTTTGGAAATAGATCACCAGGACTTTCTTCTGAAGCACCTCTGGATGGCCTTGAACCACTAACCTTTCAGTTAGCAGCCAAGCATGTTAACTGTTTGCATCACCCAGGGACTCCACAGTGAGTAATTGTCTCAGAATCCAGTTTTCATAATGACAAGGTAGCATCTCTAGTCAACAGTTGACTCAGGAATTGCTGAAGAGGCTTGATTACCTGCTCAGCCACATCCTGTATATGTAGTACATTCTGAGTGTAGGTGGTGTCTCTGTTGCTCACAGCTATCCAAGCCTAATACCTGTCCATTCTCAGGTCCAAGGCTTGGTGCTTGAGGGCCTCAGTTTAAAAGGCTGGGATTGAAGACTCTGCCTGCCATCTCCCACAGGGCAACAGTGCATGGGCTTAAAACTCATTGAATGACCCATTTACCTCTCCTGATTATCCTGCTGAGTGTGCCAGTGTCCAGAGGGACAGGGTCAGGCTGTGCCTGCTGAGCTGCTGTGTCTGGAGCCATCCAGGATCCCCCACTTCAGTGCCTACTGAGAAGCTGTACAGAATGATGGTTAAAAGAAAAGGTCAAAAACTTAGCTGTTGATCTTGGGCAAATTACTCAATCGTGCCTCAGTTTCCTTATCTAAGAATTGGGGCCATAAAATTGCCTCCTCTCTTAGGGTGCTATGAGATAAAGCACGTCAAATGCTTAACACAGTGCCTGCATTTAGTAAGCACTTACTAAATACTGGTTGTTCTTATGATTGTTATTTTATGTAATTAGGTAGCATAGTGCCTAAGGCACTTGACTGCTAACCAGAAGGCTGGTGGTTCAAACCCACCAACCACTCCTCAGAAGGAAGATGGAGCAATCTACTTCCGTAGTGATACTGCCTTGGAAACCCAAGGAGGGGTCACTATGAGTCAGGTCTGACTCGACAGCACATAACAATCAACCAACAGCCAGACAGCAAAGGCTCCTTATTCCCAGGTAGATGGAAGAGGGAAACAGGTAGAAAGTCAGAGGGTGTCCCAAGGTAATACCTAGTGGAGACCATGGTGGCATGTGTGCTGCTAAAGTGGTCCACATGGGGCCCAGGTAATATGCCTCAGTCTTAGGTTCCTTCAGACAGTACGGTGAACCCAGGTCTTAAGATGTGAGGGCTGATGTGGTGGCATTTGCTTCTGGACCTTTTGGATTACTGGGTCCTAGGTAAGGAGCTCTGGTGGTGTAGTGGTTAAGGCAGTTGACTGCTAACCAAAAGGTTGGTCATTCAAACCTACTAGCTACTCCACAGAAGAAAGATGAGGTGGTCTGCTTCTATAAATTTACAGCCTTGGAAATCCAATGGGGGCTGCTATGAGTTGGAATTGACTTGATGGCACTGAATTTCTGTTGATTTGAGGAAAGAAGGTCAAGTCTTGGAAAAAATGACCCAGGAAAGAATTTCAACTGTAAAACACTGTGTAAGGGGCTGCCCAAACTAATTCTTTTGCTGCCTTTGCATCTCAACACTATCACCTGTCTTTAGGTTCTTTTTGGCCTGGACTTGAGGAATTTGGAGAAAATCTCCCATCCACCTTCTTTCTTAATTTCATTACCATAGTTTAGTTTTTTCCAGCTCTGTCCAGCTGTCTGAACCTCAAGGAAGCCAGTAGGTGATGGAACAGTTGGCATAAAAAATAAGATGCAGAGAGGTTTTATGATTTTTCCCCAACCCTATTCCAGAAACAAAGTCCCTTGCTTCCTTTCTCTGCTCACTTCTTTCTTCATCATCAGATCAGAATCTGACTGGATACTAAGAATTCTTGCATGATTGCATTATGGAGCCCTAGTCTGAGGGAGGATCCCCAGCCAAGCACAATTCCTCCCCTGTAGTGTCTTCCTTCCTATTTCTCTTCAAACTTCAAGGCTTCATGTACCTTGGGCCTAGAGTTCCATCCCTTCTGAGTCCTCACCTTACCAAGGTTTTCATTCTTGATTGGGTCTGTGGTGGTTAAGTTTGTGTGTCAACTTGACTGGGCTTGGTTGAGTGGCTGGGCAGCTGGATGTAGTTATTCCCCATGGTGAGATTGGTAATTTACTCCATGGTGAATCTATTGGAGCAGCTGAGTAGCTGCTTTGGGTACATGGTCTGCTTCCTGTATATAAGAAACAGCTTTGGGAATGGTCTCTAGCTTATGGCATGCTTGAACCCTGCATGTAGCCGTGTCATTGTTCAGCAGCCTGCCATGCTCTGCCAACCTTGGGACCTTCAATGGACTTGAATTAATGGCCTTCCATGTGGTCTGGTAACAGCGGGACAGTGCCTTTTAGTTGTTGACCTTGAGCTTGTCACCCTCAGGAGCCAGCAGCTGCCTGAGTGGAGAAGGCTTCTGGCTTCAGTGGGCCAGGAGACAGAGGCAGAGCTGAAGCCAAGATCAAGGGGCTTTCACCCAACCCCTAGAGCCTGGCACTTTGAATTCGGACTTAAAAACCTCCAAATTGTAAGAGAGTAAACTCCTGTTTGTTCGAGCCATCTCATTTGTGGTATATTCCTGTCAGAGTGGCACTAGGTAACCAGAACTGGGTCTTATTCTCTCTCCCTGCTACCCCATCCTCCTTGCCAGGGGAGGGCACTGTACCTGCAGCCTTAGCCAGAGGATGTTTGTTGTTTTCTGCCCTTTGGAGCCCTGGGTGTTCAGCGCTTGCCCTTACTCTTGAGAGGAGATATATAGAACAGATTTTACCTGAATGGGCTGCTCAGAGAGCTCTAACATGGGATGGGGGTAAGTGAGGACAATAGGGGAGACTGGGGCAGGGAGAGACTGGGCTCTGGGCTGTAGGGTGAGGATAAAAGGTGTATGAGAGAAGAGCATTGTATCTAAGACCTTTATATTAAGTTTAACAAGATAATTAGTGTTTGTGGAATATGATGAAACTACTTATCAGTAGGAGCTCTGGTAGCATAGTGGCTAAAGCACTTGACTGCTAACCAGAAGGCTGGTGGTTCAAACCCACCAGCCACTCCTCAGAAGGAAGGTTGGGCAATCCTACTTCCGTAGTGATAACTGCCTCAGAAACCCAAGGAGGGGTCGCTATGAGTCGAGTCCGACTCGATGGCACATAACAACAACAACAACACTTATCAGAGAGAGCTGTCAGCACCAATACTTACACTCAAACTTGGATTGCCTCTGTAAATATAACCTTTCTTTATTGAACAAATTTATAAAAAGTTTTTACCATGTCAGAGTCCCGCATGTACAAGGATCATCATGCAAATCATTAATATCTGTCCTGTTGCTTTTGTTTTATATTTTATCTGAATGTGGCACCCCATGCTGCATGGGTGTGCTCATCTGCTAGTGCCTGAGGGCTCGGTCATCTGCACAAATCCTGGATAATTTGTGGAGACTTTGTGTCTAGTAGAGACACTGTAAACTGAGATCTGCTTTCAGCTCTGATTAGCCGAGTGGTCAGTTTAAGTAGATAGAATGAAATGCTAAAAAAGAAAATGTATGGTATACACAATGTCAAATTATTAATTTACTGTGAGAAATATAACTATCAACTGAACTGAATACATATATTTTCCTGGTAGGAAAATCAATATTGGGAACCTGAATAATAGCACCAGCCTGTCAGAGCTGGAGGGATCTCAGAGATCATATAATCTGCTCTGTCATTAATGAAGAGACTAAGTTAGTGACTGGTAAATAAGTCCTTACACCCTGAAGCTCAGTTGCCATTGAGCCAGCTCCAATTCATGGTGACCCATGTGTGTCAGAGTAGAACTAGGCTCCATTGGGTTTTCAATGGCTGATTTTTTAGAAGCATATAACCAAGACTTTCTTGTGAGGCACCCATAGGTGGACTCAAACCTCTAGCCTTTTGGTTAGTAACCAACTGCATCAGCTGCTTGACCACCCAAGAACTCCTACACCCTGGAGAATAAATCCTTTTCCAAGGAACCTAGAATTCATATGAAAATAAGAGCTTCCTTTTACAGTAGAAAAATTCTGTCTAATTTATGTGTTTCTCAAAGTTTATGTTTTAAAGTTCTGATAAAGTTGGACAGCTCACTAACAGGTTCTTGGCTGCCTCTGCCCCACCAGGTGTCAGTCTCAGAAGTGAAGGTGGTGGCTGAAGAGCAGTTTGGGGAACTCCTGGCTGCTGTGAGGAAGGCCCAGGCTGATGTGATGCTCTTCCTGGAGGAGAAGGAGCAAGCTGCTCTGAGTCAGACCAATGGCATCAAGGCCCACCTGGAGCATAGGAGTGCAGAAATGGAGAAGAGCAAACAGGAACTGGAGAGGGTGGCTGCCATCAGCAACACTGTCCTGTTCTTGGAGGTAGGTAGGCTAGAGAGCAGAGGAGGCGTCCATGTGAATGTCTCCAGGGAACATCCACACTTAACTCAGCCTGTATTAGAAATTTGGTTATAGAGTCAATGAAGACCCTGTCCCTGTCCTCAAAGACAGACTGGTGGAGACAATAGATCTATAAGCAACAATGAACCTGTTTGTGATAAGCAGGGTGCATGGGGAGCTATAGGAACACAGAGATGCAGGTCCTGAGTCAGCAGAATTAAGGAGCAGGGGAGGGGGCTTGGATCATATCTTGGAAGATGAGTAAGATTCAAGCAGAAGGATGTTCCAAGTAGAGGAACAGCATTGCAAAGGCAGAGAGGTTTAGGAAAGGATAGCTGATTTGGGATACTAAGGGACTTTAGCAAGGATGGAGCACAGGATGCTGTGACAAGGCTGCAGTACCAGTAAGGCATCAGCACGTTATGACCAGAATAGCTTGTTCTTTATCATGAAGTCTTTAGGCCAGGGGTGATGTGATCATAGTGCGTTATGTTTGATAAGCAGTACTATGGAGGGCTGGCTGATGAGGATGAGGCCAGAGATCTACTCCCTTTCACAGAGAGAGCAGTTGTATATTGGGGTGATTAAGGAAGGCTACTGGAGCAGATGGGACTTTTTCCATTATAATGTACTTTATATAGTAAGTAATATCCCATTAGAACCAGTCCTGGAGAACATGGAGCCTTGCAAAGAAAAGTCACTATTCTGGGTGTGAGTCCCATCACCCTGGACCTGTCACTGAATGTTATTAACTGCCAGTGAATTGATTTCCATTCATAAAGACCCCATGCACAACAGAATAAAACTCAGCCCAGTCCTACAATATCCCCATGATTGATTATGGATCAAACAATTGTGATCCATAGGGTTTTCACTGGTTGATTAGATCATCAGATCTTTCTTCCTAGTCTGTCTTAGTCTGGAAGCTCTGCTAAAACCTTTTCAGCATCATAGCAACAGCTAAGCCTCCCCTGATAGACGAGGCTGTCACAGAAGTGGTGACTGCCCATGAGGTGCATTGGCCAGGAATCAAACCTAAGTCTGCTGTACGGAATGTGAAAATTCTACCAAAAAACCATCACTGCTTTCTATCACTAAATAGTTGTATGGTTTTTAGAGAATCACTTAACCTCTTTGAGTCTCAAATCCTTCATTTATCAAAGAGTAGGTTGAAGCAAGTAATTCCAAGACTCCACCTTCAGTATGTACAAATATAAATAGTTTTTCTTGATTCCATTTTTACACAAAGTTCCTTCTAGCTACAACAAACATAAATCTTTACTGTGAAAAACACAGAAAATACAGAAAAATATGAAGGGAAAAAGTCACCCATATGCCTTCACTCAGAGATAAGCATAGTTAACACTTTAATGAGGGAGAAAAACTGAGAAGTAGCATCTGTCATGTTTCCTTTTCTGCAGGAATATTGCAAGTTTAAGAACATGGAGGACAGTGCCTTCCCGAGTGTTTACATTAGACTGAAGGATAAGCTCTCTGGCATCCGCAAGGTCATCACAGACTCCACGGTACACTTAATCCAGCTGCTGCAGAACTATAAGGAGAAGCTTCAGGAGTTTGCCAAGGAAGGTGAGAAACATTCTGGACCATTTGCTGTGGTATATTTGTCTCTAGGAGTGGTTGATGGGGAAGAAGAGAGAGGGCAAGGCAAGGCAGGGAGAAGTCAGGGTAAATGTGTCATTTTTCAAAGCTGTCCTTCAGCCAGTCCATGTTCCTAATGGATACTGATCTTGATGATTTTATTTTACAACTGAGTCCCAGAGAAAGTGAGTTAGGCACATCATGCAATTGACTAGCATTTGTAAGACTAGCTTGTCAGGTGGCTGATACCTGTACTTCTAAGTGAAATCCAAAGAGTTTGGGATCTGTTTTTCAGTTTATTTTGCTTTATTAACAAGAGAAATGTGGTCCATTGAGCATGGTTCTCTGAGAAGTTACTAGGCTCTGGCCCCTTCCTCCCCCTGGGAGCCCTGAGAAGGGTATCTGGAAAGTGCTGCTCTTTAGGTTCTTCTGACCGCTTGGATAGGTGTGCATTCACAATTCTCTGATTTTCTAGAAGAGTATGACATCAGAACTCAAGTGTCTACCATCATTCAGCACAAATATCAGACCTCAAAACCTGAGCCCAGCAGCAGAGAAGAGTTCCTCCAGTGTAAGTTATGTGAACAGTTTTTCCAACCATTGTCCGTGTAATGTTTTGCTGAACTACCATTTTTCATATAGGTTTCAGGTTCTTGCACCCTCGTGTCTATCACTAAATGATAGACTTTTAAAATGTAATTCTTTTATTTTTTAAAATTTCGTTTTGAAATAATTCTAGACTTAAAAAAAATTAGCAAAAATTGGACAAAGAATTTCCTTCTGTCCTGCTTCTCCAAACTTTAACAATGAGCTCTGGTGGCATAGTGCCTAAGGCATTTGACTGCTAACCAGAAGGCTGACGGTTCAAACCCACCAGAGACTCCTCTGAAGGAAGAATTGGGCAATCTACTTCGGTAGCAATACCACCTTGGAAACCCAAGGAGGGGTTGCTATGAGTCAGATCCAACTCAATGGCAGTGAGTTTGGTTTTTGGTTTTATAGCCATAGTATAGCATTAACACATGCTATTAATTAACATGTTAATAATTGATAATTTTTTCCCCCAGATTTCACCAATTGTTCACATATTTTCCACTATTGTCCTTATTTTTCTGGCCCAGACTACAATTTGGATCACAGATATCTTCATGTCTTCTTAGTCTCCTCTAGTCTGGGACAGTCCCTCTGTCTGTCTTTGCCTTTCCTGACCTTGATATTTTTGAAGAGTCTATTTATTAAATGATACACTTTTGAGTCTGGCTTGGCCGTAATCCATTTGTCCTGTCCTTATGTGATATTGGCCTGGTCTGTTAGCATTACTGTTGTTGTTGTTATGTGCTGTCAAGTCAGACCCAACTCATAGCGACCCATTCTTGGGTTTCCGAGGCAGTATCACTACAGAAGTAGATTGCCCTATCTTCCTTCCAAGGAGCAGCTGGGGGGTTTGAACCACCACCCTTCTGATTAGCAGTCAAGTGCCTTAGGCACTATGCTACCAGAGATCCCTTAGCATTACTGAAAACACTATTGCTAATGGTTGCTGTAAGCTGTTGTTGTGTCAGCCTCCAATTCATGGTGATTCCATACATAATGAGATTGGACAGTTGTGATCCATGGAGATTTCATTGGCTGATTTTAATTAGTACTTTATTACAGTTTAGAAGTCCACGAGGCTTCATCTCCTAGAAAAGGAATGATTGCATAATGCATGCTCATGTTTATGACATTTGGCTAATTCATTTTTATGGAATATGCTGCTTCTGCTTGATTTCTGGTAAGGACCATTGGACCCCTTTCCTCCCTGATCAATATGTGGGACCTAGGGTTCTGGCTGTTCTTGACCCAGTTTCTATTTCTCCCCCAGAATCTTTTGGCTTCCACATAGTTTCCTTAATCTTTCCTGCTTCATGACAGAAGCACATTTATATTTTATAAACAGACATGATACAGGAAACCAAATACTCCTTATTCTTAGCATTAAAATGAAAAACATATGCTTTCACAATCTCAATTATTTTATATTAAAATGTGTTTTTTCACATATAATATCAATTTTTCTGAATATTATAATAAACTTTTTTACAGACTCACCTTATTTCCATGATCAAAGTTTTGTTGCTCAAATTGCCAATTTGGTCAGTTGGAAGTCACTTTGAAGCTGGCTTCTTTCTTCTTTTAGCACTGCTCTTGACAGTCTTCATTCAGGAAGCATTTACCATTGCTTCCTGGCACTAAAAAATGTTCCAGACCCATCTTGATTTTTTTCTTGCCCCAACAAGATGAATGGCTGCAAACAATGATTTCAAACATAGCAACCATTGTGAGGATGGCACAGGACTGGGCAGTGTATCTTTTTGTACATGGGATCTCTATGAGTAGGGGCTGACTTAACAGCACCTAACAACAGCAACAACCCTCCAACGAGTCTTGAAACCCCACAGAGGAGAAAGATATTATTGTCCAAATTCTGGATAAGGGTTGACATGAGTTGGTGGTAAGGTAAAAGTGACACTGCTAATGGGATACTTTAGTAACCCAGAGCTGTAGAATATATGTCTTTTAAACTCATGAGCTCATACTCATTTTTCCTTTTTTAATTTCTTTCCTTCTTTTCTTCCAAGATATATTTTTATTGACCTAAAAATTTCTATTACATAAACATAAAGAAGTTAGAAAAGCTCTGGGTTAAACTAAAATAATTTTAGTTACAAGATTTGTCTATAGCCTTTAATATGCTAATCTATTTGTACATTGAGCAATCAAATATAAAATATTAAATATCCACTTTTCTCTGTTTAGTTCTGACACCAGCTGCTCAAACAGAGCTTCTTCTTCTTTTTTTTTTTTTTTTTATTGTGATTTGGGTGAAGATTTACAGAGCAAATTCACTTTCCATACAGCAGTTTATATATACTTTGTCTCATACAGCAGTTTACATATACTTTGTCTCATGACATTGACCACAGTTTACCACAATGCAACAGCTCCCCTCCCACTTCCTCCCCATAGTCACCTCTTCCCTGTGTCCATCCCATCATGGACTCCTGCCCCCTGAGCTGTCTCCCTTTGCATAAGCAGCCCTTCTTTCTCCCATGATTGTTCTCTCCAAGGGGAGTATCTACTTGAGGTAAATGTTCAACCCATATACCTGTCTTTTGTTCGGCTGGAAACCACAGGTGTGGGTTCAATTCCAGACCTGAAGGGCAGTTAGGGGCCATAGTCTTAGTGGTTCCACCAGGCTCTATCAGACCAGCAAACCTGGTCCCCCCCCCACACTTTTTTTCCTCCAAATGATTTTGAGTTTTATTCCACATTGCCAAACAGAGCTTCTTTCTTTGACCATAGCTATCTAGAATTAGGTCAGATCTCACAAGTTAAAAAAACACTGTCCTTCAGACTGTTAAATAGACAGATGGCAGTTGCAAGTTTGTGAGTCCACATGACACCCTCACTTCTGACCTGATGGCTACAAATTTAGAGTTTTCCACTACCTTCAGAATACTAGCCACGAGCTGGCCTGCACTTCTGACCTACTGGGTCCCACTACTCCTTTAGGTTCAATTATTCACTGGAACAACTCACAAAATTCATAGAAAGAGCTATACTTATGATTACAGCTTTATTATAGCACTAAAGCATATAAATGAAGCAATTCATAAGGCAAGATCTGGGAGGATTCCAAATGTAGAAATTCCATGTCCCAAGGTATACACTAGCTTCCCATATGCATTGATGTCTTTCACCACCCAGGAAACCCATGGAGCGTCCATGTCCAGAACTTTTATTGGCTTCATTACATAGTCATAACTGATTGCATTAACCTTTCTCCCTCCTATGAAACCAGCTGATATCAGGCCCAGAAGTTAGTGGTAGTGTGGACTACAAGTAGATTAAAAGAAAAAAAAAAAGGCACCTCAATTACTTAGGAAATTCCAAGGTTTTAGAGTCAAGTCAAGTCAATTTCGACTCATAGTGACCCCTCCTTGGGTTTCTGAGGCAGTATCTCTACAAAAGTAGATTGTCCGATCTTCCTTCTGAGTGTCTGGTGGGTTTGAACTACCAGCCTTCTGGTTAACAGTCAAATGCCTTACACACTACACCACCAGAGCTCCTCAGAGTTATTGCTCAGAAACCAGGAGGTAAAGTTCAAATTAATTGTGGAAAAGTAATTCTTTATCCCATAATATGGCAAATTAATTTATTTGAACATCTTTGTGCTGTAACCCCAGGAAAGAATCCTACACAAAATGTGGAGTTTATCAATTAGGAGGAAGATCAGCATTAAACAAATATACAAGTAAATTATTACAAATTGTGATGAATACCATGAAGTTTAAAAAACCAAAGTACACTGAGAGAAAATAATGGAAGGATATGATTCAGATCAGGGAGTCATAGAGGGTCTCCTTGAGAACGTGAACTCTCCAATGCAACCTGAGAGGATAAACAGGAATCACCCAGACAAAGAGTAGGGCAAAGACTATGTCATGGAGGGAATAGTCTGTGGCTGAAGCCCCAAAGTGGCAATTGTGTTGGGTAGGTCTGCAGTCAGTGTGGCTGGAGTGTGGAGCCCAAGTGTGACAGGACAGGAGATGAAATTGGAGGCACAGGCAAGGGCCAGGCACACAGGGCATTGCAGACCAGGGTGAGAGGATCCCAGTTTTATCCTTAGAATGAGGGTTTTAAGTTGGAATGACATGATTCACCTCAGCCTACACCTTTGAACAAGCATTGTGAGTCTGTCATAGGTAATGTATTGAAAGGGTGATAGGTAGATAGATAGATGATAGACAGATAGATAAAGCAAGACCAGTAAAGAACCTATTGCTCTAGCCCAGGTGAGATTTGATGGGGACTTAGGCTGGAGTTGAAGCTATGTGGCTGGAGAGGAATAGGTAGAATCTATAGGACTTTCTGCTGCTTCTTTGTGTGCGGAGAGGTGGAGAATGAGGATGAGGGCAAAAGAGTTGTCACAAATAACTTTCATATTTTGACTTGAGCAACTGGGTGTATGGAAGAGCTAGTCTCTGGGATCAGGGAACACAGAAGAGAAGTATGAGAATGTTCAAGAGTTCATTATGCTAAATATTAGTCAAATATTAAAGAAAAAAAAGAATGACTGAATCAGTGTGAGTGTATGTATGCCTATTTCCCCAAACCCTTCCCAACATTGGCCTTCAGTACAAATTTTTTGGATGAATGAATTAGTGAATTAATGAATATTATTTCTTAATCCAGTTCAGCAAACAATGCAGTTAATGCCAAGCAGTTTGAGCTTCAGAAAGGAAGCAAGTGGAGTGACCTTTGTTCTGGTTTTCACATACCTGTTTTAGACAAGGAATAGCCATCTTGGTAAACAGAGAATAGGGAATTGATGTTTTCTTAAACTTTGGAGGCCAGCTGGGCTTCTAGTGTTCTCTCTGACTCAATTGTCAGTTCCTGAACCACTCTCTCTGCCTTCTCTATCTCTTCAGATGCCTATAATATGACATTTGATCCAGACACGGCACACAGATATCTCCGGCTCCAGGAGGACAACCGCAAGGTCACCAATACTACGCCCTGGGAACATCCCTACCCTGACCACCCTAACAGGTTCATGCATTGGCGGCAGGTACTGTCCCAACAGAGTCTGTACCTGCACAGGTACTATTTTGAAGTAGAGATCTCTGGAGCAGGAACCTACATTGGCTTGACCTACAAAGGCATAGACAGGAAAGGGGAGGAGCGCAACAGCTGCATTTCTGGAAACAACTTTTCCTGGAGCCTTCACTGGAATGGGAAAGAATTCCGGGCCTGGCACAGTGACACAGAGATCCTGCTTAAAGCCAGCCCTTTCCGGAGGCTGGGGATATTCATTGACTTCCCAGGAAGGACCCTCTCCTTTTATGGCATAGAGCCTGGTGCCATGACTCTAGTTCACAAGTTTGACTGCAATTTTTCTGAGCCAGTCTACCCTGCCTTCTGGCTTTCCAAGAAGGAAAACTCCATCCGGATTATGGATCTAGGAGAAGAACCTGAGAAGGTGGCACCATCCTCAGTGGAGCCTACTCCCTAGACTCCAGGATCCACATACCATACCTCTGCTTGCCACAAATATATGGTAGAAGCTTTCATTTGAAAGGGGACTTAGGGATGTTAATAACTGGGTGTTAATAAATTGGCCAGCAGTGATAACTGGCTTTTGAGACCATAGGGGTCCATGAACCAAAAGAAGTTCATGGCTTCTGCCATCAGCTGAGTTCTGTCTCAGCTGTTCCATCTTGCTCTATGCAGTGCTACTCTCTATAACTTTATAGTTAGCCTTAAGCATAGCTTCCAGGAAGGCCTAAGTTCCCCTCATCATCTTCCAATGATATTCTCTTGTCTGCTCAGGCAAACATCACAGCATTGGTAATGAGGGATCTTCAGCTGACTACAAAGTTTTCAGAGTAATCACAATAAATTGCTATCTCTGTTGGGCATTTCCTATGTGTTAGACATTGAGTGCTTCCTGTGCTTCAGCTCATTTAAACCTCACAGCAATCTTATGGTGTAGATGAACTATCATCACATTTTGCAGAAGGAGACACTGTGGTCCAGGGTGGGTAGCTAACTAAGGTCACATGATGAACTGGTGGCAGAACTAGAAATCAGGTTTGAACTTCTAACCACTAAGCCACACTAATATCCTCATTAGGTCATAGATGATGTGTATAAGGTAATAAGCCACATAATAAAGTATATATCATAAGCAGAGAGTTGTAAACTCTTATCTGACAGTTTGCAAATCCACATGGTTGCACCATGTTTGACTGACCTATCTAGTTGGGCAGTGGTAGAGAGCTCACCACTGCATCAAACCAAAAACCAAAACTGTTGCCATGATGTTGAATCTGATTCATGGAGACTCCATATGTTAACAGAGCAGAACTGCTCCATAGTTTTCTTGGCTGTAATTTTTATGGAAGTAGATTACTAAGTCTTTCTTCCATGGTGTTGCTGGGTGAGTTAAACCATGATCAGGTTAGTAGCTGATTGCAAACTGTAGGAACCTTTTCAATACTGCACATATCAGCTCATTCCCTTTTTAGACAATCCTTGTTTCAGCAAGGATTATAAGAAATTGCTTATCTAAATCCAATCTTAGCCCCTATGAGCTCTGGGGAGGGGTCTCAGTTTGCTCGCTTGAAGTCACATAGACTACAAGGATTTATCTAATTTCTCTTTCACAGGACAGTTCTTCAAGTGCTGGAGAGCAGCTCTCATGTTCTCTTTGGAAGTATTCTTATTTTCATACTAAATTTTCCACTTTCCTTTATGCTTTCTAGACTTTGCATCCTCTAATTGTTCCATTGGGAGCTCTGGTAGCATAGTGGCTAAGTCACTTGACTGCTAACCAGACGGCTGGCGGTTCAAACCCACCAGCCAGTCCTCGGAAGGAAGGTTGGGCAATCCTACTTCTGTAGTGATACTGCCTCGGAAACCCAAGGAGGGGTCACTGTGAGTTGGGGCCGACTTGACGGCACATAACAACAACAACAACAACAACAATTGTTCCATTATCTTTCCATAGATAAATAGCTAACATTCCTCAAGGGTTTAGTCAAAATAGAAACCAAATTACAAACTACATTTAACCTGAAGTTCCTAGTAGGGCTTCATTAGAAATACAACTTTCAGGCCTTTTCCTACACCCTGCATCAATCCTGTCTTTCCCTCTTCTACCAGTCTGATAATCCTGTGGCAAGAGTATATTTCTTTAGCATAATTTGACTTCCTTCCAGATTCACCATTCTATATTTGTATCTGATGACTTACACAGAGTAGGATTTAAATGTATTTTTACCTTAATTTCATCACATCATTGCTTCTTGCTGAGAGAGTTTTGATTCATGATTCTGCATCCAACTTATTAGCTCTCCTTACAGACAGAGTGTCATGTGCAGAATTGGAATAATTTTTTTGTAAGTCTTGTTGATAAAATTATTGAGTAGGGTAGGGCCAAATACAGAGTCTAAGCCCTTTGGGTTTAGTTGTTCAGTAAGTTCTGCATTGGTAAAGCCAGTTGCCATCAAGTTGCTTCTGACTCATAGTGACTCTGTGTTTTAGAGTAGAACTGCACTCCACAGGGTTTTTAGGCTGTGAATGTTTGGAAGTAGATCACCAGGTCTTTCTTCCAATGTACCTGTTATGGATTGAATTGTGTCCCCCCAAAATATTTGTTGTAATTCCTAACCTCTACAACTGTGGCTATCATCTCATTTGGAAATGGTTGATTTTTTAGGTTAATGAGGCAGGATTAGCGTAGGATGTGTCTTGAGTCAGTCTCTTTTGAGATATAAAAGATTAAACAAGTAAATGAGCTAGCAGAGATGGGGAAGAGAGATGCCAAGCCACGTGAAGATGCCCTGGAGCAGAACCTCAGAGAGACAAGGACCTTCTCCCAGAGCCAGCAGAAAGAGAAAGCCTTCCCTAGAGCTGGCACCCTAAACTCAGACTTCTAGCTTTCAAAATTGTGAGAAATTAAATGTTTGTTTGTTAAAGCCACTCACTTGTGGTTTTCTGTTATAGCAGTAGTAGATAACTAACACACTGCCTCTAGGTGAATTCTAGCCATCACCCTTTCAGTTAGTAGCTGAGTGCTTAACTATTTGTGCCATCAGGGAACTCCTTTGCATTGGTCTAATTGTAAAATAATATCCCTTTATCCACAGGACATGATGAAAGACTTCTTCAATATGTGTTGTAAATCAAGTATACTCTGTCTATATGTCCTTGATGTACCTGTCTAATGATGCCCTCAAAAGAGAACATGAGGTCAGCTTGGCCTGCCTTGTATTTATTGAATCCATGTAGGTTGTTGGTGCTGGACAATTTCTGTTCTAAATGTTTATGAGATATTTGATAAACCATTTAGAATTCTCCCTTGGGTTAATGTCAAGTTTGCTAGTTTGTTGTTTCTAGAATCTACCTTACTTTTTTTTTTTTTTGAAAATCAAGATAATTCTTCCTGTCCTCTGTCCTTTGCCATTCTCCCTAATTTCTCAAAGATCACTGCCTGACTTGCAGTCACATTGGTAAACTGTGTTAATGTCCTGAGCGGTAATTTGTTAGGCCAGAATTCCTGAACTCATATTAAATGGATTTGTTAGGTGTCTCCTCACCTATCTTTAACTTTGTTTCACTGTTCGCTCTTTATGTCCATTAGTTTTCTGTTTCAGTACTTCTGTTCTAGATGTAAAGGCCAGAAGCAAAATAAAAGTTGGGTATATTTGCTTTCTTTATGTCATTGCTTCAAGCAATAGGCCTACATTTTTCTTTTTCTTAGTATGAAAATTGAACACACCCTAAACAAACCAAATAAATGAACAAATAAGGAAAATAACAAGGAGAACAAAGGTCCATTTTATATTCCCTGCCACTTCCCCCAAGCTGTTTAAATGTGTGCCGGTCTTCCTTATTTACTCACCTTCATCTCCTTATTTTGAAAATTAAAAAAAAAAAAAAAAAAATCTGAACTTGTCAAGAGCTCCCTCTGGTGCCAAATTGTTTTGTTCTATTTCTAGACTCTCTGGTGCCAAATTGTTTTGTTCTATTTCTAGACTGTTTGTGATTGCAGAATCAGAATGTACTTTTAGCCACTACATAATTGATTCTTGTCTCAACTTTTCGAAATCCAAGTACATATGGCATTCTCTTCCAGGGATTTGATTAAATTCCCTCATTCTCTTAAGATTCATGATGAACTGGTAAGATAGAAATGTATAAGGGCTGTCTTACTTATCTAGTGCTGCTATAATAGAAATATCACAGGTGGATAGCTTTAATAAACATAAATTTATTCTCTCACAGTTGACTCACTCACGCATTGCCATTGAGTTGGATCCGACTCACAGTGACCCCTCCTTGAGTTTCTGAGGCGGTATCACTATGGAAGTAGATTGCCCAATCTTCCTTCTGAGAAGTGGCTGGTGGGTTTGAACCATCAGCCATCTGGTTAGTGGTCAAATGCCTTAGGCACTATACCACCAGAGCTGCCCTTTCACAGTTTAGGAGGCTAGAATTCCAAATTCAGGGCACCAGCTCTAGGGGAAGGCTTTCACTCTCTCTTTGGCTCTGAGGGAAGGTCCTTGTTTCCTTTCAACATCTGTAGGCTTGGGGCCCTTGGAGAACTCCATATATCTTGGCACCAATCTTTCCCTGGGTCTAGGAAGCTGTCAGAGCAGTGACCCTGTGTTCAAAGGACATGTTTCGGTCCCAGCTCTTCTTTTCTTGCTGGTAGACAGATCCTTCTTTTCTTATTTGCTTCTTTCTCCTTTTCTTTTCTTTCTTTATTTTTTAAAATCATTTGCAAGATAAAAGGTGATGCAGGCCACACCCCAGGGAAATTCTCCTTACACCCAACCAGGGCTTTGACCTAAGTAAGGATGTTACATCTCACCCTAATCCATGTACAACTAATTGGCTGGTTATATCAGAGCAAATCATGGGGAATAATTACATCATTACATAACTGCCAAATTACAACATTGCATGATGGCCAAACCACTGAGAATCAGGCCTAGCAAAGTTTGCACACATTTTTGGGGGACATAATTCAATCCATTACACTAGCTCAATCATAGTGGTCTTATGAGCTCTCTTGTATGTTTTGGAAAACAATCCTCAAATTTAAGTGATTCAACATACGGTATAATGTATAAGGGACTATGCTCAGATATAGTGACTCAGAAGAATTTGGCTTAAATTGAAGTGAAAAACATTCACATGTGAAGAGCTAAATAAGAATCTACTTTTCAAAACAATAGTAGATGAGGCAGTGTATGAGATGGATTACTTACTTCCTTGTCCTGGTGCACTGCTTCTAATGTAACTCTTTCTCTGGTTACCCTCAGTGACTAAATCATGTCTGGGGTCACTGACAGAGCAATCCCTAGTTGCTTCCCTTCTCTACAGCCTCATATTCCAGAGCCTCTACTCCAGCCTCATTTGCCTCTACAGAAGACTGAAGGAAAGGTGGTATGTACACTTCTTGCCTCTCCTCAGCTTACTCAGATTTCAATGACAGTTCCACTC